AGCCACCTAATCTTTGATAAACCAAACAAGAGTGTCCACTAGGAAAAAGACTCCCTATTCAAAAAGAGGTGCTGGGAGAACTGGACATCCACATGTAAAAGACTGAAACTGGACCCACACCCTTGCCCACTCAAAAAAATTGATTCAAGATGGATAATGGACTTAAATTTAAGGCATAAAACAATAAAAATCCTCAAAGAAAGAATAGGAAAAACACTGGAAGATATAGGGCTGGGGAAAGATTTATGAGGAAGACTGCCATGGCAATAACAACAATAGCAATAATAAACAAATGGGATTTAATTAAACTGAAAACCTTCTGTACAGCCAAGGAGACAACAACCAAAGGGAATAGATGACCTACCCAATGGGAAAGGATATTTGCATATTTTGAATCAGACAAAGACTTAATAACCAGGATCTATACAGAACTTCAGTTAATCCACAAGAAAAAAAATCAACAATCCCATACATCAATGGGGAAGAGAGATGAATAGAATCTTCTCTAAAGACGACAGACGAATGGCTAGCAAACATATGAAAAAATGCTCATCATCCCTAATTATTAGAGAAATGCATATTAAAACCACCCTGAGAACCTAACCCCAGCGAGAATGGCCCGTATCACAAAATCTCAAAACTGCAGATGCTGGCGCTAATGTAGGGAGAAAGGAACACTTCTACACTGCTGGTGGGACTGCAAACTAATGTAACCATTTTGGAAGGAAGTATGGAGAAACCTCAAAAAACTCAACCTAGACCTCCCGTTTGACCCTGCAATCCCATTACTAGGCATCTACCCAGGAGGAAAAAAAATCTTTTATTATAAGGACACTTATACTAGACTGTTTATTGCAGCCCAATTTATAATCGCTAAAATGTGGAAACAACCTAAATGTCCTTCAACCCAGGAATGGACTGGTAAGCTGTGGTATATGTATACCATGGAATACTATTCAGTCATAAAAAAATGGAGATTTTGCAACATTTATACTAACTTGGATGGAGGTGGAACACATTATCCTTAGTGAAGGATCACAGGAACGGAGAAGTATGAATCTTTTGTATTCAATATTGATATGAGGACAATTAATGGCAATTAATGACACAGTGGGGCACCGGGGAAGGGGACACAGAAAGAGGAGGGAGGGGGATGAGGGAAAGGAAAAGCAGAAAAAACAAACAAGAAAATAGTAACTAATTCCCACATAAATTGGATTTAATTTCGACTACAGTGTATTCCTTAAACATTAACTTTTAATTCAACTTGTTAATATGTTCTTTAGGATATTGCATCCTCACTTGTAAGTGAAATATGTTTGTAATTTCCCCCTTAAAATACTTTCTCCGATTTTAACATCAGGTGTATCCAGATCAAGTAGAATGATTTTGAAGTATTTCTTCTTTTTCTATTGTCTATAAGATTTGGCATGATCTGTTTTTTTGAAATTATCTTTTACTTTTATTTATAAATACTGGTTGTCTATTTTTTGAGACTTAAAAACAATAATAAGAAGTCAACTGATGACACCATACTGAATCTCAGAATCATAGCATTCTATAATAGACATACTCTTATTTGACAATGTGAATGTTAATTTCTTTGCATTATTATTATTGTTTAATTTTTTTTTTTTGGCAGTTTTTGGCCGGGGCTGGGTTTGAACCCACCACCTCTGGAATATGGGGCCAGCACCCTATTCCTTTGAGCCACAGGCCCTGCCCCTTATTGCTTAATATTTCGATGCAGCAATCATCTGATTCTTTTCTGAATGCATTTATCTTCACTCCTTAGGAGGTTTTTGTTTCTGGTCCTTATCTTAAACATTGTTACTGTTATTAAATTTTAAGCCTTTTTAGTTTTGTGAAGGTGAAAAAATGGAAACCTAATAAACACATGTTAAAAAAAAATCAACGCATTGTACCCCTACATGTGCATAAATGTATTCATGATCTATGTGTATATGACTTAATAAAAAAAATGTTTTGGTTTAAAAAAAAAAATAGCCTGGAGTTTTGGTGGGGGCCTGTAGTCCCAGCTACCTGGGAGGCTGAGGCAAGAGAATTGCTAAAGTCCAAGCGTTTGAGATTGCTGTGAGCTATGACACCACAGCACTGTACTGAGGGTGACATAGTGATACTCTGTCTCAAAAAAAAAAAAAAAAAAGAAAAAGAAAAGCCATGAAATTGGCCAGGCATAGTGGCTCTTTCCTATAATCCTAGCACTTTGGGAGACCAAGATGGATGGATTGCTTGAGGCGGGGAATTCAAGACCAGCCTGGACAACACACTGAGACTCCACCTCTACAATAAAAAAACACTTGGCCAAGTACATCCACTTCAAGCCCTAGCTGCTCTAGAGGCCAAGGTAGGAGGATTATTTAAACCCCTGTTGTTCAGGGTTGCAGTGAGCTATGATTCCCCACTGCTCTCCAGCCTTTGTAAGAAAGACTCTGTCCTTTAAAAAATAGTAACAAAGGTGATGTAGACAGTTCTCTCAGGGAGATGTACAAATGACCAACAAGTGTATGAAAAAATGCTCATCATCACTAATCATTAGGAAAATGCAAATAAAAACCACAAGGAGATATTACCTCACTCCAGTTAAAATGAATAGTATCCAATAACCCCCAAATAATAAAAATACTGGTGAGGATGCAGAGAAAAGTGAACTCTTATACACTGTTAGTGGGAATGTAAATTGGTATAGCAATTATAGACAATGATTCGGAAATTTCTCAAAAAACAAAAACTGGAACTACCACATGCTGCAGCAGTCCTACTACTGGGTATATAAGGCAAAGGAATTTAAATCCTATGTTCGCTGCAGCATTATTCACAACAGCCGAGATAGGGACGCAGGCCTAAGTGCCTACCAACAGAGGAACGGATAAAGATGTGGTGCAGGCACACAATGGCATTAACAAAAACGGAGACTACGTGAAGCCTAAAAAAAGAAAATCTGTCATTGGTGATTTAAACTTGCAGCACATAAGGCTAAGTGAAATAGGCAAGACACTCAAAGACAAATACTAGATGCTTTCCCTTATATGGAGAATCTCAAAAAAGTTGAATACATAGAGAAACAGAAGAACGGTGGTGAGGATCAGAAGCTGGGGGGAGGGAGGGAAGAGGGGAAGACGCTGCTCAAAGAGGATCAAGTTTCAGTTACGTATTTGAGTCCTATTGCGCAGAGAGGTGATTACAGTTAATAGCAATGTATTTTGTAGTTTAAACTTGCTAAGAGTAAACTTCAAATGTCTTATTACCACAATGATAAGTGAGGCTATGAATATGTCAATTAGCTTGTTGGAAACATTCCACATCCTACACAAAATTGTATACATAACAAAACATCACATTGTATCCTACTAATATATAATATATACAATTATGACTTTTCACATAAAAATAATAAAAACAGGCTGGGTGCAATGGCTCACACGTATAATCCTACTACTCTGGAAGGCCAAGGTGAGTGGATCATTTGAGCTCAGGACTTTGAGACCAGGCTGAGTAAAACCAAGATCCCATCTCTACAAAAAATAGAAAAGCTAGTCGGGTGTTGTGGCAGGCACCTGTAGTCCCAGCTACTTGGGAAGCTCAGGCAAGAGGCTCACTTAAGCCCAGGAGTTTGAGGTTGCTGTTAGCTATGATGCCATTACACTCTAGCCTGGAACAACAGAGTAAGACTCGGCCTCAAAATAAATAAATAAATAAATAAATAAAATGAAAATGATAATGAAAAACAAAACAAAATTTAACTCACCTTTGGTGTCCTCAAACACATCAAGTTTAACTGCCTTTGTTCCATCGAAGCAAAATGCCCTGATGGAATTCAGCCCTAATAACAAGGCATTCTGCTTTATTTTTTCTACTTTGTTGAAGATTTTATCCAGTGCTATCACTACTCCCTAAAAAGAAAACAAATGCAGATAAAGTAGAAATAAATATTAATCCAAACAGTCTTGAAACTTAAGAATGAGAAAAAAAAATGGTAAAAAATTATGGCCTTCACTTTCCTACCACCTCTATTTTTTTTTTTTTAAAGTTGAAAATTCCTTAATTTTTTATTCCTGGTACCACTACCACAATTTACAGGGCAATATACCCGATGTAATGAAAAGAAAAGAAAAAGGCAAAGCTACAACAGATAAAAGACCTCAGGAATGTACACCTAATTGACACTACATTGCATTAATCAATAGCTGCACTTTTTGCAAACTGTGGCAGGATAGTCCTGAACAAGAAGGGTTTCCTGTTTAAGCTGCAGTAACTTTTCTGACTATGGATCATCATCCTCCTGTGGCAGATTTTTACAGTTCCTCTAATGCATTTGGGACAACTGTCTCAAAATAACCTGTAGCTTTCCTGACAACTCCTCATTCTCTCTCCTGCTAAGAACTATAGCTCCTTTCTGTTGTTTTTAGAACCTGCTACCTTATCTACCACCAGATCCATAACCACCACCATATGGACTTCCTGGGCTTCTTCCACCAAAACTGCCCCCTTTCATGGGTCCATAATTTGATTGCTGTTGTCCATTATAACTTCCAAAATCATTATAGTTCCCACCACCACCATAGTTACCACCTCCAAAATTTCCTCCTTCGTTGTAAACATCATATCCTCCTCCACCACCATATCCGCCACCTTGGTTTCCATATCCTGGCCCCTCCACTACTGTAACCAGGACAACCACCATAGTTCCCACCATCACCTTCAAATCCATCGTATCCACCATCACGTCCCCCGTAACTACCTCTGTGGCCACCACCTCCACCACCATGCCCTCCTCTTCCACCAAAGTCTCCCACCACAGCCAAAATTATCTCCACCACCTCCAAAGTTTCCTCCCCGACCCATAAAGTTGCCAGATGCACGTTTAGAAAGGGCCTTTTTCGCTTGACAATTATGTCCATTAATAGTGTGGTATTTGTGAACAACAATTTTATCAACAGTATCATGATCATTCAAAGTTACAAAAGCAAATACTCTCTTTTTTTCCACTCTGCCTGTCTTCCATAACTTCTATGATTTCAATCTTGCCATACTTTTCAAAGTAGTCTCTCAAATTATATTCTTCTGTATCTTCTTTAATACCACCAACAAAAATTTTCTTCACTTTGAGACAGGCACCAGGCTTTACAGAATCCTCTCTAGAAACAGCAATCGGGGTGGAGGCAAGATAGCGGACCTCAACCAGCTTTTTACAGAGGCTCCTGTGCAGAAGGAGACTTAAAAGGACAGAAGTTTAGCAAGTAAGCCAATGGTTTAGAGCTGAGCCAAGACAGAAGATTGAAGAACACACATCATCCTTGCTGAGCTGAGCTGCGACCCCAAAAGATAATCAAAAGGTACAAAATCCACCACCAAGCAGACAGGAGTCCCCTCCCCCACAAGAAGGGCTTGCACTTTACTCCATACAAACAAGCAAGCAGAGTTCAAACATCCTCCCACTCTATCCCACGGGAGAGACCCCTCCTAAATACTGGACCTCCTACCATTACTAGGGTGCCACAGCACTCTCCTGCCAGGCATCAAACTGTACAACTGTATAACATTGTATGTATTTGCTACCTGCACCTCTGAACTCCCAGCATTCCCCCTCACTCTCACCCCAAGGTCTGGAGGTTTGTCACCCATGGATTCCAGATTCTTGGGCATTTTCTTGAGAGGAGTGGAGGGGGAAAGGGCTGATGCTGCTCTGTGCTGACTGTGGCACAGGAGTGAGGAGAAGAAAGTTGGCTCGGAGGAAGCCATATAGCAACAGTGGCATCCTGAGCTGCAAACTAACACCATTCCAGATAGGTGAGCCCCATCTGTCTGGGCAACCAGAGGTTCCGGACAACAGCCACTTTCATAAGAAAAGAAGACCATTAGCATCAGCCCTCAGGGGATTATAGCTGAGACAAAGGCAGTGGAAGGGCAGAGGCTGGAATTGACACCTAAGTGTAAACTCTAACTGCTTGCTGCCCAGAGCTGAGTTCCTCATCAACTCTAGCAGCCTCTGACTTGCAGAGGAAGTTAGCTGGGACAAAAGGCGAGGGGCTGGAATTGAGAGAACTTTCACAGCCTAATCTGCTGGACTCAGATTTCCAGGGGATTTTGGCAGTCGTAAACTCTGGGAGCAGTTGTCTACTGGAGTGAATAGGGTCATAGACCTGGGGGATTAAGAGTGACTGGGTGCAAGGTAGAGAAGGAGGTATTAACCTTCTCAGACTAACCCATTTGCTGGGTGGGTCCCTTTGCCCTCACAGAGCACTGGAGCAAGTTATATCTCTGAGCTGTGAGCAGACCCCTCTTATCTACCTGCCGGAGACATTTGAACTCTTCCACCTGAAACTGGTACTGAATGAGACAACTGATTTTGACCCCTTAAACCGGGCAGACCACCCAGGAACTATTCAAAGGGACACCCTGGGTGTATAACTGAGGGAAGGTTTGATTTTCCTTGCCCAATTGTTGTTTGTGGGGGGCAGAGCAACCTAATTGCTGGTATTTCTCCACAGCAGAGACTTCAACAAGAGTAACTGAATCTCTAGGGTAGGACAGAGACCAGCTGAAAATAAGACAGAGCCACTTAGCCCCAACACACCAAGCAGGTCCCCAGTCTCTCAGGCCGTAACACCTACAGGTCTTTGACAAACCTCGAGGGGAAAAGTCAAACAGGTAAAATAATCATGGGGCTGAATCAGCAGAAAAGCTCTGCTAATATGAATAACCAGAGTAGATCAACCCCCCAAGAAAGTATGTGGCTGGTAATATGAATAACCAGAGTAGGTCACCCCCCCCCCAGAAAGGATGTGGCAGACGGAACTGAAGATCCCCTATATAAACAGATGGCTGAGATGTCAGAAATTAAATTCAGAATTTGGATTGCAAATAAGATTAATAAAATAAAGGCAAAAATAGAACAAGAAATTCAGGGAGCATTCCAAAAGTTAACTCAAGAATTCAACGAATTCAAAGACAAAACCACCAAAGATTTTGAAACATTAAGGCAAGAGATTGCAGCCCTTGAAGATCTGAAAAATATGGTAGAATCTCTTGGTAACAGAGTGCAGGAGGCAGAAGAAAGGATCTCAGACATAGAAGACAAAGCTTCTGAATATGTCCGAAAGTCTAAAGAGAATCAGAAATGGAAAGCAAAAACGGATCATTCTCTCAGAGAGCTCTGGAACAATTCGAAGAAAACAAATATTTGCCTTATAGAATCCCTGAAGGCGACGAAGTTGCTTCGCAAAACACAGAGGCTCTATTTTATGAAATTATGAAAGAAAACTTTCCAGATATGTCAAGAGATCCTGAAATTCAGATTGCAGACAGCTTCAGAGCCCCAGAACGACTCAACCCAAATGAGACATCCCCCAGACACATTATAAGTAACTTCACTAAACTTAATATGAAAGAAAATCTTGAAAGAAGCAAGATGTAAGAAAACCATACCCTTCAAGGGGAAGAATATTAGAATAACTCCAGATCTCTCTGCCGAAACCTTTCAGGCAAGAAGAGGGTGGTCATCAACATTTAATCTCTTAAAACAAAATAACTTTCAGCCCAGGATCCTGTATCCAGCTAAACTGAGTTTGATTTATGATGGAGAAATTAAATACTTTAATGACATCCATGCTTGAAGAAATTTGCCATAACTAAACCAGCTCTCCAGGATATTCTCAGACCTATTCTCCATAATGACCAGTGCAGTCCTCCACCACAAAAGTAAACTAACTCAGAAACTATTGATCAAACTCCAACTTCTATAGTGGTGAAAGGATTAAAAACGTCCACTGGACTTTCGAACAACTCGATACCTAACATTTTATCAGGCTTATCAATAATTTCAATGAATGGCTTAAATTATCCTCTCAAGAGGCACAGATTGCCTGATTGGATACAGTAACTCAGACCAGACATCTGTTGTATACAAGACTCTCATCTTACATTAAAAGACAAATACAGACTCAGGGTGAAGGAGTGGTCATCTATATTACAGGCTAATGGAAAGCAGAAAAAAGCAAGTGTTGCAATTTTATTCGCAGACGTGATAGGTTTTAAACCAACAAAAGTAACCAAAGATAAAGATGGCCACTTTATATTTGTTAAGGGCAATACTCAACCTGATGAGATCTCAACTATCAATATCTATGCACCCAAGCAGAATGCACCTCAATTTATAAAAGAGACTCTAACTGGCATGAGCAACTTGATCTCTCCCAGCTCCATCATAGTGGGAGATTTTAACACTCCTTTGGCAGTGTTGGATAG